CTGTGAACACAAATTAGTTAGCATAAATCAGTTAAGTGACGAAAAATTAGGTGCCTATTTACTTGTGACCACACAGTGTATAATAGCAGATTGAAGAGAGATATAGAGACAGATAATTGAGTCAAGTGATCGGTAGTGGCCGTAAATAAAGTGCGTGAATCGTTGTAAATTATAGCGTGTGTTTAAGTGAAAGTGACTGTGGAAATTCTGTTTATTGCAAAGTTGTATTGAGAAAGAATAAACTAGTTTTATTTAAGAAAGAACTTGTATCGCTGAAGTTCTTCGGAAAGAATTTTTACGGGAAATTAACAAACGAACAGAGACGTAACAATGGTCTTGAATCTTAGAAGGTTGCATAGTTTAAATTATAATACCGATACAAGAAAATGTGTCAGAAGAATCGTAATAGATAAGAAACAACATTTTTTACTTTGATATATTTTTCTTTTAATCTGTTGTGAACCTACTTTCAGGTAGACTAGAGGACGATGACTGTTGTTAAGATCTTCATTCCTCCCTGTACTGCCTCGGCGTTATTTATTCTCCAAAATAAGATGCTAAAAAAAATTAAAAAGTATTTTATGACTGCATAGCCATTGCTACATTGCAACCCTCAATAAACATCGAAACAAAAGAAATAAACCCTTAAAAGGTTGGCAAAAATTTTAAACGAATTTAATGAATCTAATGATAAAAACCTAAAGTGAATAAAGCAAGAAACTCGTAAGATTATCTTGTGTTTTATATTTTCATTCCAAAATATATGATAAATGTCATGCTTAACAAGTGACATTTTTACTACACCCCAGTGTAGGGGTTGGCCATATAATCAATTATTTACGTTACGTTTTGTACCACCCCACTTATCCATTTGATTTTGTAGAATGTCTGTTGATACTTCAACTTAGTACAAAGCTTGAAAAGATCGATATATGAATATCCGGTTGATCCGAGATGACATTCTTGGATAGTATAACGTTTCATTCTATAGATTGTTTTAAACAGTTTATATTGCTGACAAAGTTACTTTTATCAGCGTAGTTTTCGAACTGTGGCAGGAAGGAAATTTAAGTATGATGATTAAAAAAGCATATGTTTATTTTGTGTGTGTGTATATGTATATCTACATGTTTATGTGTGTATAGGTAGATAGCTACAAAGATATAAAGAGAATGTTTAAAAACTCACAAGCCTTAATTATAAATGAGAGTTGTTTTCGTTTTGTAGGGAGAAATCGGATTTGCCACGTTGCCAGAACAAATCCACAGAAAGTCAGTAAAAAAAGGCTTCGACTTTACGATGATGGTGGTTGGTAAGTCCATATTTATATTAATACTATTTAAAAAAAACGTTTTTGAAATTGTAATCAAAGATATACTGAGAATATCCCTTTGAGGTTTTTTTTTTGTTTCTTTTTAATTAGGTAAACTGAATTAAATGGGTAAAGTTGTTCAACCATCTGGGAAATTTGAGAATATTCTAAATTTAAGGTCAAGAGTTGTGCATTCCTAAGTCACGTATAGAGTAATGATATGGTGATAGTAGTTTCACGATGTGCGTAATATCAGATAACAATATCTATATAGAAATTAGAAACATAGCATGTGACATTAGAAAGATTCAGGCGCCCTCTACTTTCAAATTTAGTTACTGATGAAAAATGTTGGAACATCAACAATTACGTTTCAAATACTGTAGCTGCGTTACTGATATAAATAAATTGTTACGAGGTCCAAGAATATCACAGCTGCTGTAATTTATGTTTCTCCCATGTGTCTTCTCAGACAGTTTGCCCAATGGAGATATAATAAAAATTGTACTTTTGCTTTTGTCAGTCGCTACGTGAATTTAATTATCATCAGTACATAAAATTAATGATAAATAAAAGTAGGGAATGCAAAGTTAGGGTACTGAGATAACCATTGTAGAAGCATTTAGTGCATTAAAAATATAAAATCAATAAAACTGAGGAAAGAAAGCCATGTCATAGCAAAAACAACGTTGATGGGGTACGAATAGAAAATCTGGAAATGCATTCATTCTATTTTGACCCCAGACATCAGGAAAGAGTGAGTAAAATAAGTAAAAGTTAACATTCAAGGGCAGCAAGGGACCTTTTGGTTCATCTAGGTTGTCCTATTCACTAAATTAAACTAAAATTTTTATAAACCCTCAAAGCCTGACATTATCATTCAAATATTTATCGAGCTTTCCGTTTAACTCCCTCAAATTCACTGCATCCACCACATCCGAAGGCAAGAAGGCAACCCGTTACAGAGGACAACCGCCCTGTTAGATAAATAAAACTGCTTTAGCCGAAGATGACTTCTTCCGTGCCAAAATTCATCCCCTAGTCTTACCATTCTGACTATTAAATATGATAAAAGATCATGCATCAACACTATTACTTCCATTAATATTAAGCACCTCAATCAGATCCCTTCTAACTTTTTTTCAAGAGAAAACAAGTTCCGAGATCTTAACCTATCCTTATAAGCTAACCTTTTCTATCCCAGGTATCATCCTTGTAGCCCTCTTCGGAATCATTTCCAACAATTCAATGTTGTTTCTGAGGTAAAGAGTCCAAAACTGAACACAATACTCCAAATATGGCACCTAAATGATTACCTATACAATGACATTATAAAATCTTTAAGCTTGTATTCAGTATCTTAGTAGATCCTATTTGCCCTGCGACTAGCAACAATATATTGCTTGGATGAGACTTATGAACCAGAATACCAAGATCGTTTGCTTCCATAACACTGTTATGGTTATTCCCATCAAAATTATTCTTATACTTCAAATTGTGATATACCACATGCATTACCTTGCATTTTTTATAATGAAAAGCCATCTGTCATTTATTTGTCCAACTCGACAAATAATCCAAATCTTTATGTAAAGCAGTAGCATCTTCCTCACAGCCAGCAACACCCAAAACTTTATTGTCATCAGCATATTTAATCTATTGACTATTCCTTCATCAGTGTCATTAATGTAAATCAAAAAGAGCAAAGGTCCTAACACTAACCCCTGAGGCACCCCACTCGTAATATTAATTCAGTTTGACTGAACTCTATTTATAACAACCCTCAACTTGTTTTCATATAGCCAGTTTTTTATATAATGTACCGGACTATCCACCACACTTACGAAGATAACTTTTGTAACCAGCCTTTTATGTGTCACCTTGTCAACTGTTTTCTGAAAATCCACTTATACCAGACCCACACCGGTACCCTCATGTATGTTAGCAGTAACCTCTTCAAAGACTTTCAAAAGATTAATAAGACAAGATTTTCTCATAGTGAAACCACACTAACTATCCAACAAAATTGTAAACTTTATTAAATCATTTTGCAAAGATTATCCCACCACTGATCTAAGACTAATAGGCCTATAATTTTGACAGCAAGCAACAACGAAGTCTAGTAAATGAAAATGTTAGTGAAACAATGAATTCGTTAAAATCTACTGATATTGGAGATCAAGAAAAGATCCTAAAAACTCGAATAGATATGGATGTTACTGAACATGATTTACAGAATCCAATGGTACCTACTATGCTCCAAAATATAAAAAAAAATTAAACATGTTAGATGAAATAAAGTGGATATAAATGAAATCAAAGATTCCATAAACTTTTTGTCAGCAAAGTATGATGAAATATCCTTAATACAAAGCAAACATGCAGAAGAGATTAAGATATTGTTACGTCTCTGGTCGTTTGTTAATTTCCCATAAAAATTCTTCCTGAGGAACTTCAACGATACAAGTCCTTTCCTAAATAAAACTAGTTTATTCTTCCTCAATACAACTTTGCAATACACAGAATTTCCACAGTCACTTTAACTTAAACACACGCCATAATTCACAATGATTTACACTCTTTACTTATGGCTTGACTCGATCATCCCATTATCAATTTATCTGCCGGCTTATATACTAAAATAGAGGGCGACTAGCAAACGCTGGGACATTCGTGAGGTTCTCTGATCCTTTTAGAATCTCATCAAGTGTTACCAGCGTCATGTGACTTCCGCTGTCATAACACTGCATCTTTCTTAGTATTGTTTGTCGCGTCCAATAGCCACTTACATTAAACCAATAGATAATTAACAATAACTTAATTAAATGTACAGAATTTACAAACACAAATTAAAATTCAACAAAGTCTTTTAATTTTATGGGACGTATCTTCTTCCATACTGGTCTCCGTCTCGTTGGCTTCTGCTTCACGTAGGGTTCAGCTGCTACATCAGGAAATGTCCTATTATTGGTAACAGTCACATCAGTGGTAGTAACTTCATTAAGGGCTTCACTGTTTCCCT